TGGAATCCGTCCATTTGGACCTCCGACGCATATTTTTTAAAGATTTGGGACCGCAGCTGCAATTATCCCTAATTTTAACATAGCCAAACAAACAAAACAAGTGTTTGCCTTCTCTGATAAGGGTGTGACGTATTCTCTCTTACGTACACAACTTCTATAAATTTGTTAATTTCCACACGGCATCGATTTGTCAATTAAGAGAGCCTGGCCTACCTCATTTGACTGCTACAAATACTTTTTAAAGTAATTCTTATTTCGTCTAGAATCTTCCTTTAAGAAATTGTAAACAAAGTGATTTCTGTCAAGTTGAAGTCAACCATTAGTCTTATAGGGTGTTCGGTAAAAATTAAAATTGAAAAATTAATCGTTATTAATTGACTTTTATTAAACGAATGTGACCTAATAACGACTATATTTTCAATTTTAATTAAATTTTAATCACTCTCAAACATGCTCTTAGTCAATGTTTGATCTTCATTATTTTTAAAATAAATTTTTCTCACTTTTATTTTCAATAATACATTCTTTAATAAAATAATAATACACGTAAATCCAAAAAATTTCTTTAATTTTTAACCATACATTTTTCATCAAATCATTATTCCAACATGCATTTTTGAAATAAAGAAAAAAAAATGGAGCTCAAACACATTTTATAAAATTCATAACTTTTTTGCTACATATTTCATTATTTTTATCAAAATCTATTAAAAATCTAATTTTAATCCCTATCGAACAATGGCTTTATCAAAAATTTTATTTGCTCCATCACATTAAATTAACATTTTTGTTGAATATATTACAACTATTTCGAAATATAACTTAGAACAAAGATGTGGGAAAATAATATTTTTGTGTTATTAATTGAAAGCGAAACTAATGAAAATTGTGGATTCTGAAATAAAAATGTGATTCAAAAGGCGTAAAAATAGAAAACAAAAATTCAATCTCGCGCAAGAATATCGAGATGGATTAATCTATTGGGAGAAACTCTTGTTGGATAATTTCAACATATTTGGGGCCACACGTTGTATATTAAAATGCGTGGTGTTATTATTTAAAGGATATTAGTCAATTAAAGTGATCCGTTAAAGATGTATTGTGACTACTGGGTATTAGATTTTATGGAATTATAGTGTAGAGATCGAAGTTTTGTTTTAAATTGATGATGGGCCA